CTTGAAACTTCCAACGCAGCAAGGTTGTGCAATTTTGCATAAAAGAGCACTGGATATAAAGTGACAGTTCGGAAGTCTGCTCTCCAAGTGTTGGAGAATCTAATGCGCCTAGACAATGAGATGTTGTCTGAGAAGAACTTGGAGGGGGTTTACAATTGTTGTTTTACTTCTTTTTTTGTGTTGATATAGTAATGCTATATTTAAATTTACATTCAGTAGAAACTTATATTAAGACAAGGGGCAATTTTTTCAGGTTTAAATTTGGCAAAGTTATAATCAACTTACAAATAAGTTTTTTTAAAATTTACTGAAAATTTATTTTTCCTTTTAATTTGTTTCTAAAAAATTAAGCGTATTTTACCAAATACACCACACACACAGTACCACATTATAATAGCACTATTGATGTTGATATTATGTTGAAAAGTTACCATGCAGTCATTGATAAGAAATTCTTTTACACCCCAAAAAACCTTTCATTTTCTTTCCCACCATCTGTATTGTAGGACTGTATACAATCTCTGAATTGGCACACCCTAATTGACTGCGATGTTCAGTTTTTGTTTTTGATAATTTAAAATAATTAAAAAATATCGAAATAACAAAATTCATCCAAAAATCTCCTTTGAAAATTCATAAAAATATATAAACAGTAGTGAGAATGTTTAAACATCAGTGTGTAGAACACTTCATTATTATAAACTATTAAAAATTTCATTTTGACAGCTCTGAAAAACACCGTAATCCCTGAAGCTCATGCATGCATAGTTTTGTGCTAGGTGCAGATTGGCCTGGAACAGCAGTTTTTTGGATGGTTTGTGCACCTGTTGACTAGAAAGCTTGTCAGATCCAGTGTTGAAAGGATGGGAAGCCATAAATTAGAGGGGTAGGGGATGTAGACTGGCTAAAGGATATCCTTTGTTTGGGAAAATTTTTGCTTGGTTGAAAATTTTGTTGACCAGGCAACATATTTCAGGTGTTGGCAGAGCACTGTCGGGCCCCCAGCATGGTTGTAAGGAAACAGATATTACATCTTTATCAACTCTGGTGAAAAAATTACCCTGAGCATGATGTGTTATCACAACTTGGGATAAAGGGAGTCTTATCTTATCCTTGATCCTGAATAAAAGTTCAGAACGTGTTGTAGAGGTAAATTTATTCTTTTTACTTGAAATCTGCTATAGTATTAGGACCTTGATTGATTCAGCATTATCCTTTGTGATAAAATTTTTTCTTTTCCATATTAAATTTTTCGGGATTTTGATCTTTTTTAGTATTAACCACTTTATTTTGATTGTTTTACATCAATAGTAAAACTAAGAAGTTATTACTGTACAGTGGTACCTTGACTTAGAAGTTTAATTCATTCCATGACTGAGCTCGTAACTCAATTTGCTCATATATCAAATCATTTTCCTCACTGAAATTATTGAAATGCCATTAATCCATTCCAGCCCACCAAAAAACCCCTGGGACAGGAGAAAATACTTCAGTATAACGCTAATATCAACTCTACGGCTTATTTATCTATCAGAATTGATCTAATATGACAATTAAACGCTACATATAAGTAACATGAAATGTGATATATACTCTGGAATGATAAAATAGACCATAAAATGGCGAAAGTGTCCAGGGACAGTCCGGCATATAAAATTATTACTTTCTCCTTCTCCAGTCTTGGTCTGGGTAAAGAGCGTTTTGAAGAGGCCCTGACTAGAAACTGTGCAGTGTATATGAATTCTCCAGAAAAGTTTGACTTTTATGAAGCTCAATTTTTATTGAAGGTAAATGCATATATTGGGGCGGAATCATAAAAAATTTTTTCTGCAATTGGCTGTGGAATATTGGAAATTCAAAAATTTTGGATTTTGTGGGAGGGAAAGGGCAAGATATTTTGCAAATGTCAAAAACTTAGCACTTTATTTTTTTGTAGAATAACTAAAGATTTAAATTTCCGATTACCTTCCAGTGAGAACATTTTCACTAGCTTTGTTTTTATAAGTAAACAAGTCCAAAACCACCTCTTGTTGTGCCATTTGGTGGGGGTTCTTGCCAAAAGTCATTTTTAGAAAATTTTTTTTTTCTTTTTATAACGGATTTTGGCTCGCAACTTAAAGCAAAAAATCGACTGAGCGACAGCTCATAACTCGGAAAACTTTTTTAATTTGGGAGCACTCGTTAATTTCAAGGTACCACTGTATTTGTATTTTAAATGTTCCACTAGGTTTCTTTTTGCAATTCCTTAACCCTTCAGGGTCCGCCCCGTAGATCTACAGCTTTACGTTCAGGGCCCAAAAACCGTAGATCTACGCCATGAAGCTCAGCTCACTCTGAAAAAACTGTGAGTGGTACATTTGGGCCTAGATATGAGAGAATACATCTATGTGGTATGTGTGCACCACATAAAAACAGATCCTGCAGCACACTGTGTATAATGAGGGGAAAAAAATGAAATCATGATTTTTCGATTAAAACAGCAACTTTGCAGTGTTTTTTCGTATGTTTTTTATATTTTGTATTTGCGATTTCTTGGTCTCTTTTGATAGAATGGAAGACATATTACAGAAATAGAGATGATTTTGATTGGTTTTAGCATTGGAAATGGCTTGAAACTGAGCTCAAAGTAGCGGAAATGTTAAAATTTTTCCCGATATTCAAGAGTAAACAAACGCCCTCACACGTCGTTTGTGATGATATTTATACAATTATTACGTATTGCATAACAGTAAATCTTCTATTTTTGGTGTGAATAAAAATTCATTATGTGAATAAAAAATCAAATGGAATTTATTTGTAAAACCTCAAAAAATTAACTAATGAACAGAGGAAATGTTAGTTTAGTGCCAGGAATGCCTACATTTTTTCATTCTGGACCCTATTTTGAAATTGGATATTTTGAAAATTTGTGTTAAATTGGCCAAATTAACAATTTCCGATCACTTTATTTTGTAGTTGAAACAGTTGACTTGGCGATTTCTTGTGCCCCAATGTTTAAAAATAGAATAATACTAGTGAATTTAGCTAAGAATTTGGTTGTTTTGGAATAATGTAAGGGGGCCTAAAAGGGAGTCAAAGTGGGAAAAAAATCCCCGGGATTCGTAAATATCGTTTGAACATCAAAATTCGCGAGAGCATAATTTCGTAAATTTTTCCCCCAAAAATTTCGTACTTTTTGTTTTTTTCCCTTCAAAAAAAGTTTCTCTACGATTTCATAAAAAAAAATAACAATTTTTTTTTTTTTAAATTTGGGGGGGGACACGGGCGTGACCCCCGGGTTTTGGGGCCCTTGGACCTTAAAAGGGGAAAAAAGGGGCTGATCTCATTGTGTGAAAATTTTCCTCAAAGTGTTAGACAGATGATAAATTTGAAATAATAATAGTACAGAGGCTTCTCTTTTTTATGAGGGTTTGATTTTGGATATTTTGTTTTTCGTGGACAGTAATGATGCATTTTTCATTAGCCCATCTTTTAAATTAATAGGAAAAACTTGTTTTCCCATATATGTTTTTTACTTTTAAATACAGGGGAACCCTCAAACTAACCCCTATTAATCCTTCCTGAGAGTCATCGTTAGTCAAAATTACCCTTTAAAGTCAATTTAAATTTTTCCCCCCCAAGAAAAAAAGGGAAAATTTAAAAATTAAACCGTTTGGGGACACCCCAAATTATGAAAAAAAAATTGTTTTTCCCACATGAAATTTAATTTTAATAAAACAAAAAACCTAAAAAAAGAATGCACAGTTAATAAACACCTTTTTTGAAAATCTGGTGATGATTAAAATGGGATGGGAGGAGGGGAATGTTGATAGTCTTAGTGTTTAAAAGGGAGAATCCCCTTTCCCTTTTAAGAACTTGGGGATGGCAAGTCCCCTTTTCCGGGGGTTACTTCCCTTTCCCCTTTTAAAACTCTCAAGTCAACCTTTTCTGGCCCAAAAATTTACCCCACATCACCACTAGTTTCTGGCTTTTTTTTTAAAAAAATGTTTATGCAAAATTCCTAGCCTTTTCACATATGATCCTTGAGAGAGGGTATCCCCCTGCAACTGTTTTTCGTTTATCCACACCCAAAAACATCTCCAACATCTTCGAGAAATTCGACCCCCAGTTTTTTGAAAAAAATGTTGCACCCCTTTGGGAAGAACACTTCCCTTGATTGCTTGTTTTCCCTACCCACAATAGTAGCGATGGTTGATTGGGGTTTTTTGTAAACCTGCCAAACTTTGGGACAAGCACTCCAATTTTTATTAAATTAGCAATGATCTCTTTTTTCAATCCATAGTAATTCTACCCTTTTGCTGTAGGGTTGGCACAGAAGCTTTCTTGGGGCCCAAAGGTGAATTATTGTGCAGGGGCAACACTAAAAAAGGGTGTATAAAAATGAAATGTTCCCATTAAAATTTCTTGGAAGGACCGGGTGGCTGACTGGCTTGTAAAAAATCCTGCCCAGAAGGGGGACGCGTCCAGACGGAATGGGAAAAGGTTGGTCAAATTTTTTGTGCTAGTTGAGGCAAAATTTTTTCGTTAAAAAGTATCCCCAAATCGGATTTTTCGTTAAACGATGCCATCGGGTTTGGGAAGGGGCCCCCTGTACTTGTAATTTTTTAAATTTGTTACAGTAATTTTTTTGTTTTTTTTACTTATTAACCCTTTGAAGGTTTCGGGCCATATAAAATATGTACTTTTTAAAAAGCCAGTTGGGTTTCGGAAAAGATATATATCCCCAATTTGACGTGTATTTGACATGTGGGTGATTTGCTTACCTTGAACATTGGGAAAAAATTTAATATTTCCGCTAAATTTGAAACTCAATTTCAAGGTCCAAATTTTTCTTCCCTGAAAATAATCGAACTCATCTTATTTTGTAAAGTGTTTTCCATTCTATGAAAAAGGGGCCAAGAATTTCAACCATAAATACAAAAAGGGAAAAAAAAACCTTAAAGTCAGGGGTTTTTTTAAACCCCAAAAAAGCGGTCGGAAAATTTTTTTTCTCTCATTATGCACTGCGCACTGCAGGATTTTTTTATACAGTGCACACTGACACATAGATCCATTCTTTCACATGTGGGCCTACCAGCTTTCTCCTTGATTTAAAGCCGCTAAAAGTATTGAGTAGATATACGTCGAAACACTGGCTTGTAAGATGTATATTTTTTTTTTTTCAACAAACCGGCCATATCCCACCAAGGCAGGGTGCCCCAAAAGAAAACGAAAGTTTCTATTTTTAAATTTAGTAATATATACAGAAGAGGTTACTAGCCCCTTGCTCCCGTAAGATGTACATTTACTTCCGAAATAGCCAGAGGGTTAAAGAAGGGGTTTGGGATATTTGCTGTTTAGAGTGACATCTAAACTGTTGTATCTGCACACCTCTGCATAGTCAGTGATAATGAGAGTGTTTCTTTTTTGGGGGGGGGGTCACTTTACCTTGGTGGGAGACAGCTAGCTAGTTAAAAAAAAAAAAATTCATATTTGAATTAAGATATCTTCAACTTAGGATAGGTCGTCACAGCATAACTCCATCGTAAGTCAATTGTAGTTGTGAAGTCTTACTCAGCCCTGTAAAAACTTCGGACAGTATTACCAAGGCTGGCTCCTTCTCAGGAAAATTAATGAATAGAAAAAGAACAAAAACTTACAAACATAAACACTTTATTATTTAGAAAATATAAAATATAAAACACTTAAATATGAAATATTAATCCTACCTTAAAGAAAATGAAAAATATAAATGATATCTGAATTCAACGCTAATATATATATATAAAACTTGGGTGTCGGGTGTTGGTGACACTGCGTGTTGTTGAAATCGTAGCCGTTGCCGATGATGGGGGGGGGGTCGCTGGTGTTGATGACAACCCACCGGCTCGTTCTTCACAGATTTTCTAGCCATCAATAATCCGTCCAGATGACAGGAAAGCAGGTTTTTTTCCACTGCAATGATGAGGGGTTATATCCTGCTACTTGCATACACAAACAGGTAAGTGGATCAGAAATTGGGACGCCTCAGAACGTTAGTCCGTCTCCTTCAATTTCTACTCGTTGACTAGCAGGTGACCCTCTCTGTCCTTTCAAGAGTAGTGTTGGGAGCTGTGAGTCGAGTGATTTACTGTTTGACCGGAGCCCCACATGTCACCTTTCGGGGGGGG